GGCATTAGAAAGATACTGTGCCTATAGCTGCTCACCACCTCACTTGGAAAATACAAGCAGGATAGGAAACAGGTACAGCTGGAAAGACACCAGGAGATCTGGCAGGGCAGTAACCTCCTCTCTCAGGTCATTTCCACCAGTGGATGTGAAGAAGAGCCAGAAGCTCTTAACATGTTAAGGTTAAAAAAGCTGCAGCTGGAAGAGCTCATCTGGCACCACATTCCTGGCAAGCTGTAAATCACAGGAGCAACTTGTGGAAAGGCAGGAAAGAGAATCCAAATCTCCCAGTTCTCACCCTGGTGCTTTCATCTTGGTGTTCAGCCTGGAGAAGAGAAGGCTGCGGGGAGACCTGATTGCAGCCTTTCAGTACCTAAAGGGGACCTATAGGAAAGATGGGGAAAATCTTTTCAGTAGGACCAGCTGTGACAGGACAAGGGGTAATGGCTTTAAACTAAACCAGGGTAGGTTTAGACTGGATATAAGGAAGAAATTCTTCACAATAAGGGTGGTGAGGCACTGGAACGGGTTGCCCAGGGAGGCAGTGGAGGCCCCATCCCTGGAAGCATTCAAGGCCAGGTTGGACGGGGCTGTGAGCAACCTGATCTAGTTAGCGGTGTCCCTGCTCACTGCAGGGGGGTTGGACTAGATGACCTCTAGGGGTCCCTTCCAACCCAAAACATTCTATGATTCTATAATTCTATAAACACAGCCATTAAGCACAGTATCAGCTTCCGTGCTGTTGGATGGCACTGCTGGCCAAGAGCTCTATACTGAAAAACATACTTTAATTTAATTAAACTGTAATAGCCCTCTAACTAGCTCAAAAAACAGTTTTACACTGTAATCTGATTCCATAGGAACATGGTAAATTTGAGATGCAGCTCACGGCATTGCATTCGGGCAATTTACACCGATTTCAGGTGATTGCCTCTCAGTCTTTATAGAAATATGCTTGGACAAGTTAGCAGGTTAGATATGACAAGGATGTGTCTCACAGGCCAACGGTAGGTTTAACTTGCCAGGTGTTAGCATTCCCAGTGTGCCTCGCTGAAACCACAGCCTGAGTTCAGGGCATGCAAGGTGACTTCAGGGGTTCTCCCTTTCATCGCAAGATCTCAAATGAGAGCCTTCCACCGTGAAAGCAGCTTCTTGCTCACTTCTCAGGATGCAGAACGAGATGTCCTGTTTCGGTTGTGGCTTTTTTCAGACAGACCTTGCGCTAGGATCTCACTACAGATTTTTCACATACTGCAGCCAGTCATGAAAAGGAAACCAAAGTATAAAAAAGTGATAGTATTTTGCAAAATACTATTGTTCATGCTACTCTTCACAGGATGCTGAACAAGACAGCTGCTTTCAGAGGTGAGCATCAAGGCTCTATTACGTCTTCACTGAACAAGTAACTCCAATGCTTTCAGGCATTTCTTGTTATTCCTGGCCAGCAGAAGAGTAGCCTTGCCTCCCTCCAATGCCAGCTGCCTTATGGATTGTTTAAGCTGATCTGTTTGCCCATGCATGAGAATAGTGGATGCATGGACACAGGGATGCCCCAGGGATGGTAGCTTTCAGGAGGAAGGAGAGGAAACTGGCAGCAGCAGTCTGCTTCAGGGATACATCATGGGCAGGATAAATCTGCCAGAATCTCCTTCTGCACCATTTACAGATGGTAAAAAAAAGAGGCCTTGGAAGAACTCAATACGTGATCCAGGTGATCCGAGAGCCAAAATTGAAATGCAAGAGTCTTCACCTAAGCCCAGCTTTAAACAGCAATTTTAACCTTGTTTCTGTGCTCAGCTGCACGTACACAGTTGTAACTTGCCTTTTTCATATACAGCAGCTCTTTCAAAAAGCCAAGCACCACACAGGTTTACCGAAAGAGGAGACAGATCAAATTTAGTGCTGTTGGGCCTTCACAGAGGAATTCTCATACCTGCATAAAACTCCATTGACTCCAAAGGGTCTCCAGTCAGATCTCCTACAAGTCTATCTCTTCAGATGCGACAGAAAAATCTATGATTTAATTTGTTCTCAAATCAGCATTTTAATGCTTTGGTCATTTCAATAGGAGGAACAGATAAGCACAAATAGCTTTCATTATGGACAGTGTGGATTCCTTTCTTACTAAGAAGTGAAAAAAAGATCTATTTACAGCAAAGGGTAAATAATCTCTGTGCCCAGTATCTTAAAATGTCTAGCATGTAGATAACCATAGGCACAGATGTGAAAGTCTAGGAACAAAGCAATCAGGAAACACAGGAACAACAATCACTATTTATGACCTTAGAAAATTCAATATCACTTATCTAAATTAGAGCTATAAGTCAGTTCTGCTAGATGAGAATCTGCTATGTCTCATCTGCAGCATTTACATCATAGATTAATCATTGTTTAATTAAAATGGGGCAAGAATGCTTCTTTTGGGTTCTTCATCTTTCATGTTTGGTACCAAGAAACTTTGTTTAGAGCTATTCTACATAGTTTGTGCAACCACTTTCCAGCAGGTTGGCGAGGAGGGTATGAGGTTCAAGTACAGATCTGGGGAATATCATTGAAAAAACCAAAACCATCTCCCTGTTTTGCCAACTCATGCTTTTTACCATATTTTCAGAGCTGTTAATCTCCTCCTCCTGACTTCCAAAAGTGCAACTCTTATTTCAAAAGCAAGTAAACTGGTGCTTTTTTCCCTTCAATTAGTCTGTTCCCCGCATACAAGCAGAGTACTACACTGTGGCTAGAGGTCTAACTGTTTTCTTAGACTGACTGCCTAAGGAGAGGAGGTGTATGTGAACGTATTGCAGCAAGGGCTCCTTACTAGCAATTGTGAAAGACACTGGCCATATTTCTACAGCCCTGTTTGACAGAGTGGCAGAAACATCAAATAGATCTTACAATGCCCCAAGGTTTGCTAAACTAGGTGTCCTGGGAGAAGAGAAAGTCATTATTTGTCTTACATAGGAGACAAGCTGCAGTGTTGCCCCTGTTACCCTCACAGCAAAGAGTGTATAAAGGAAAGTGTGCCTAAAATACCTCCCCAGTTATGCTGTAGGACAATGCAAGCAGCCTGCAGTTAGCAGCTTACCAACAGCTCAAAACTGTCATCAAGAGTTAGCCTAAGTTATGACTGAATCCGCTCTCTTCCCAAGTAAATAATGAGAAAAGCAGTTTTTAACGTGTGACTTGAGACCCCCTCATTTCAGAGAAGCAGGGGAAGAAAACAGAGCCTGAAACAGAGACCAGGGGAGATTAGAAAAGGGGACCAGAACAAGGACCCTATGTACAGTTTGAACGTAAAGCTGAATCCCCATGGATCTCCTGAGACTCCTGACCAATGAATTGTTATTGGCACCTATATGTCCCTGCTCAACTTTGTTTAGTTGTACATGCATCTAGTTAAACTTGTCTGTTAGAGGATGGACTAAGTTACTTGACAGCTCATATGCTAACTACTCACATTTATAACTTCATGAGCAACAGGAAAAATCTAAATCCAAGATTGCAATCAACCACAAAACACTTAAAAACTTAAAAAAAATAAAGCAGACTACATTGTTTTCAGGGCTTTTCAACCTACTTCTTATACCCGCAAAACTAAAACTAAGACAAATCAGACAGAATTCAAGGCTCGAGGACCCTGGTCTCTACTCCATCCCACACCACAACAACCCACAACAGAAAATTTCAGTTGGGCAGATTTACCAAGAGCAGCAGTTCAGCACAGGTGCCTCTACAAACAGACTAACCCAGTGGAAAGAACAGTTCAAGTGGTGCGACTCAGCAGCGTGATGGCTTTCAGATCCCACATCAAGGCTCAGAAAAAGCTTTCTTGCAACCTGAAGGCAATAAGAGGCAATAATGGTGTCTTAAGAAATTGCTTTTAAATTATTACTTTTCAGAACTTAACTGTATTTACTCAATCCAGCAGCTTTCAGTAAGACATCATACAGGCTTCAGATCCCCTACACAACCCCAGCTGTGCACAGTGCAGGCAGGCATGGCAAAATTCCTCTCTTCCTCTTGGGCAGCCTGCCTGCCCCAGGCCCTGTAGGGACTGATGCATTTCCAGTGTCCACAGCTCACTGAAGGTCTCATCTGGGAGCAACACAAGAGCTTGGACCCCATCATCTAAGTTTCTCAATGTATCGCACATATTCAGGACACCAGTGTTCATGGCACAATAACATAAATCCATACTGTGAATGAAGGTCTGGTGACACGACATTTAAAATGGAAATACAAAGCTGTTAGTGATTTTTCAGGGTATTGTTTGGATCACAAATCTAGCTTCTTTCTAACATTCTTTCTGTAAGTTAGTTTGAGCGAATAAAGCAGAAAGGAGCCTCATGCTATCAATTTTGCATGTTGCACCTTTTTTGTGTTTCTTAAACTAAAAATCAGGATTACAGTGAGAAAAATCTAATAGACAATGTATGTCTGACAACCAGGTGCATGTTTAATAGACTCATTTTGCGCTCAGAAATGGGTGACCAAAAAAACCCAAAACAAACCAAAAAAACCTAACAGCAAATAAGATCTCGAATCAAAAGCCTTTCAACATTCTCCTTTTAAATCTGTCCGAGAAATGGTTACAGACATGGCCAGGAACACTGTAGTGCCCTTATTTAACTTATGAGTTTATGTACTTTCCTAGAAGAATAACAGAAACCACAGTAGTAAGCACCATTGATATTAGAAAGAAGCTACGCATTTTGGTGGAATTCCAACAGTAGTCTGTAAGCTACTGACCCTCATTTGTGGTATATTCCAGAAGAGATTACAGTCTTTCAAACTCGTGTCACTGCAATGGCTGCAGTATGTGCAAGACGATTCAAAACTGATGCCTACCTACTGCCCCAAAATTTCAGAAGACAGGTTTTTTCCTGCTTCCAGGTTGGAACAAAAACTTTGCTTTTAAAAAAAAAAAAAAAAGTCACAGTATAGTATAAAATGGTTAAGTGAGTCTATAAACAGAATCAACTTCTTAAAGCTAAGCAGAACTTTTATCAATAACCCAAGACAGATTCATCCCAAAGTAGTTCCTCTTCAATTTTGACATGTGTCTGTGGCTTCTTTTTATCCTTTTTGTGCTTTTTGCTCCCTTTCTCAGCAGGGTTTTCTTTAAGACTTTTGTCATTATAAGGTCTCAATTTCTTCTCATTTACCAAGTCTATCTCAAATTTAACTCTCTTTTGTTTCTCATTTTCTCTTCCAAAATCTGCCCCATCACTATTTTTCTTTCTTTTCTGCTTTGTGGCTTCTTTCTCATACTTCAGCTTTTCACTGATGTATTTTCCCTCCTCAGAATTATTTATCTGAAATTTCTGTTCTTTTCTGTAGGAGCTGGTAGAAATTTCAGCAAGCATAAGTTTGTAGCAGTCTTTTGACTCTGCAACTGATAGGCTGAAGCTCTCGTCTCTGGTGATGGCCACCTCAGATGCTTGTTCTTCTTTACAGTATCTGTTGTTATAGTGACAATTAGGTGCCTTTTCTAGCACGTGCTCATGAGCTGATGGCCAGCTTGGCGATCTATTTTCCCCAGTATTTGTAGGTGACGGGGTTTCTGAAAAATGGCTGGAGTGCTGGCCTTGTCCACACTTAAAGCTTGAAGATATGACCTCACCAAGGCCACTTCCTCCTTCAATGCTTTTATCTTGAAATTCTTCCTCTTCTGCTTTTCCTAAACACCTTCTTGGCTTTAGACCTCCAGCTTTCTGAACTTTAACATAATCCGTTAATTCATTTTGAAAGGAGTCACATGTTTTCTTTGACTTCTTCATGAGATTGGCAAGCGCTGTTTCTCTGCATAAATTGGATAGAAAGTCTTAGTTATTAATACTGACCAATTTGCTTAGTATCTATTGAATTAAAAAAAAAAAAAAGGTTGTATTTCCAGAGTCAGAAAAATAACATATTCCAAGCGTGTTGTTCTGTGTGACTACATGGACCTTGTTACACAATGATCACATCTGTAATGCTGCAGTTACAGAGAACAGATCCTACTCTTTGTCAGAACTGAAAAAATGGAATAAATTCATGATGACCAAACGAATTTATTGTGACCTAGAGTGCTGCAAGAATAAGACGCATTTAAAATGACTGCACACACTTTTAAAACTACTTTTTAAAAAGAAAATTTAAGATTCTCTGTTGTTAATTAATCTCCAACTAGCTACAGATAAGAAGCAATTACATTGTACACTGACTGTCAAGTAATAAAAGTTATTAATTTCTTTATGAGATTCATTCTATTGAACAGTTGCAGTACAGTAATTTCAAGCAAACTCTGTGAGTCCACAGCAGAAACAAACCAGAACAAAACCAACCAACCTGGATTGCTAAAAACCCCAAAAAAGGAAAACGCACTCCCAAGGCAAAACTACCTATCAGTTTATATTTTACCCTCCCTTTCCTCAGGCTAGAGGATAAAGTGGTCAGATGACAAAGATATCCCCTGTGGGAAGGGCAGTTCCAGAGACCCACCCCTTAAATGTATCTTGTTCTGTCTTAATTCACCAGCTTTATACATTCATTTTGTTAACGTACAGTTGGGCCTGCAGCAGTTCCCTATGCTCCTGGTTTTGGGGACTCTTAATTCTGTTGACTAAACAAACATTTTAAAATCATATCAGTTCTACATCAGTCTCTTGTGGTTGTATTACTATTATTCTGCGTTCACTTACAATATATCTTGCCAAAATGCTTAACATGTAAGCAGTTTTGATATTTAGCCTACTTGCACAGGAATCTCTAAAAAGGACGTCTCAAACCATCACAACGCCCATGCTGCAATTAACACAGTCTACAAGCCCTCTTCTGGTTAAAAGGGAAAGTGCAGGAGCTATCATCTACCCTATAAATGATCTTATGCTGAAAGTAAGATGCTTGTTGATGAATTCTGAAAGCAACACAATTGATGGAGACTTGGCACTTTTCAGGATTAAGGTCTTCTTTGCCCTGTCAATAGGAAACTAAGTTCAGATCATTTCCTTCTGGACTGACCACTGAAGATGCTGTACCATAACAGGAGCTGCTGTCCTCAGACAGCAAAGTAAGTGGGAAAACTACAAGTTTCAGGACCTTCCCCTGTGGGTTGTCATTGAAGGTGCAACTGTGGGAACTCTTAAGACTGAATTTCACTCACAAGTATGATGTTTAAACAGACAGTGCTCCTTTAAACCAGTAAATCAAACAACAAAAAAACCCGCCAAACCAAAACAAGAAACTAATCAAAGTCACTTAAGAGCAGACAACAGGGCTAATGAAAAAGTTCAAAAGTACAAACTACAGAGGAATAGTAACAAAAGACTTACTAACTTACTTAATCCGGTGCTTATTTCCTTGCATGTGGGACTGGTATGTTTCTATAGATGTAAGTGTGATGTTACATACGGGGCACACGTAATAACCAACCCCAATTGCTGAAAAGAAGAAACCTGTAGGTTTGAGTTTTGCTTTTCATTTGTAGTCTCTCTAAGCACATCACGACCCCATCCCACACAAGAGTCCTAACATCATATTCCCATAAACAACATTTATAAACAGACAGAAAGTCTTTGTTGCAATTTTACACTAGAATAATATTTATGAAGGGAGCTGGTGAGGTGTACCGTTGCAGTATAACCATGGTTTAAACATTAACAAAGAGTATTTCTCTTATCTCACTGAAGAGATCCAAGATAATTCCAGTAAACTGTTGTCAAGTGCTGATGAGAATGAAGTGTGCTGAAAAATTAAATACTAGTGTAAATACCTGACCCAAAGCAAGCACCAACAGATACCAATCCAGTCAGTCGAGATTTAATTAAAATAAGATCAGTTTAAACATTACCTGCTCAAATGTTCATGCAGTGTTGGTTCAACCCTGTGAAGATGCTGAGGGAATTGTCGATACAGTACATTATGAATATGGGATAGGGAGCCTCAGGCAAGTATAAGGTAAGGTCAGATGAGGAAAACCCTTGTGTTTTCTAGGTTGTCATTTTCTACTCTCCTACAAGCTGCATCATACATAGACTTAAGTATTCTGAAACCAGTGAGTAACTATTTTCCCTCCATACAAACCCAGGAACTTCATCCATTAGCAAACTGCAGCATTAATTCTAATGGGCTATTGCTTTGCATCAAAATGTATTATTTTGTTTAAATTATAGCATGACTAAATGAGAGCTGTTTTATGCTAACAATGACTTTTGACTATCAGGTAGGATTCTGAATTCCTTACTAAATAAAAGATTGACAGTTCTGTTGCACCGGACCAGATGATGCCCCCCTCAAAATTAATGGAAGTTGCACAGCAACAGGGCTTTGGCTTTGGACACAGTGCCTGAGCTGGAGAGAGTCCTGATGGGAGGCTAGAGAATAATGGAAACAAATTTCCTTATGTGGGAAGATTGAAATAATTACAACAACCAGTTTCATGAATAAAAGATTAAGGGGAGACATGACACCAGTTTTCAATTATTTAAAGAATGCGACAGAAAGGAAACTAATGATTGAATTCTGGTGTCTGCTTCTTGTTCTGTGCAGTAAAGAAATACATTGTGGTCAGAGTTCAGTATTGGTAGAAAGTTTTAAGATCAAGAAGGTAAAGATCAAGAAGTCATAGAAGATGTTCCTTATGGAGGTTGCGGGGTCTCCAGCACAGATGGTTTCTAAGAACTAGGCGGAGGAACATCTTAAGAATGACACAGCTACAACTGATCTTGGCCTTGGATTGGGACTGGGCTATTTTCTATGATCCTCTGTATTTGACTACAGAACTCATTGAGGACTGGATTTGGGTCTCCAAGTCAATCAGAAATACTTTCCAACCCACAGCTGTCAGAGACAGAACTTCAGCAGTTCAACCACCAAACAGAAAGGAAGAAAGGAACTTGTTCTGTAACATGGGAGAAGACCAGCATTTCCTTGCACACATCAGAGCAGTTGCTCGAACAATCAGAATTGAGTGCTCAAGCTACACTCGGATTGTAACATTTGCTCATGTTCTGCTTACCATTTGTGCTGGGCTCTGCAGGGATGACTTTGTCTCCCAGCTTCTCCAGTATCTTTTTCCGTCCTTCATTTCTTCTGTGTTTCTTACCAATGTAATGCTGCTGGGCCATGAGTGGATTATTGAAGGGAGCACAGCAGAGCTTGCAGAACTTCTCTGGATCATTTAACTTCAGCGAGGATGATGAAGGCTCTTCAGCTTTTGAAGGCAGCAATGGCTTCTCAGGTGATGGCATCTGTAAAGCTGGAGACATGGAAGTAGAAGATAAATCTGCTGACAGCACGCCAAAGGAAAGGCTAAAACAATTCCACAGAGCAAAACAGGTGACTGCAGAAGTACAGAGCTGGAAAGGAGAACAGTCTGCTGGGTGCTGAACTACTTGCAAGGGACTATAAAATACCTCAATCCTGGCAAGGATATGAAAGTATAGACTGATAAGGAAAACAACCCTGGAATATTCAGAAACCCCCCCATTAGATACCTAATAATCAGCTGTGTCTGACAGCTGGTCACTCTAAGGTCCTTATACAGTCCAAGAAGAGAGATGTACCCTGCAGAGGGTGATTCAGAGCACACATTGTATGCTCCATCTTTAAATACAGTTCAGCAACTTGTACAGGACTAACACCAGTTAAGTGTTACTCATGGACTAATTGTTTTTTCATTTCTTATCATATTAATTTATCAGAGGAACATCTTCTTCGGACTGCAGTGAATTCTCAGAACAACAATAAACAACTTTCATTAATAAAAAAAAATCAGAAATATTTGCCCTTAGTTTCAGTCAATGAAAGATAGGGAATTTGAAAGCAAGGTTACATGGCTTCAGAGTTGCACGGGGTAGTATCTTTGTTTATTCACCTAAGGAGTTACCACAAGACTGCTCCACAACTTTGGCAGAATAGGAAGGCATAGAGACATGGCAAGTATAGGAAGATACTTCTCTGTATTTGTTTCAGAGAGACAGGAAAACACATGCAAAGCAAACTATTTAGTTCTTACCAGAAACAGGCTGCATACTCTGTGCTGGCATGTGGGCTTGGTGTCCTGATAATTGCTTCAGCTTTTTAGCATGGATCTTTCCCAAGTAGTGAGACAAAGCAACAACTGGGGAAGTAAAAATCACGTTGCAAAGATTGCAGTATTTGTTTTTGTCCGGTACTCCACTTCCATCCGTCTGAAACCAGGCAAGGACAAGCTCAGTTACAAGCATTCACTGAAGTACACAAGGAAACATTTTATTTAGTGACAAAGAATAGTAAGTCACCTGAAAATTGACACAATCAGTTTTCTTCTGTTTGCCATGCTCCTGCCTCTCTTTCTCACTATGCGTTCGGATGTAAAGACGAACTTTCTGAGCATGCTTTTTGCCCTGGGAAGAGACCAGAATTATTCCTGTGTCAGTAACAAGGATCCGAGCAGTGATATATCCAGTGACTGGGACTTCATTCATCAAAAACTCCATTCAGCATTTGCCAGATTGTATTTGTATAGAGCAGAGCCACAAGCAGACAAATGCCAGCTCATGTAACAGTGCTACACATTAATCAATACAATCAATAATATAGTACTTAGCATTGCTCATAACATTTTTCCTCAAGCAGCCCTTGGAGTCTCTCAATTCTTTGGAGAACCAAAAATCCTGACATGTCCCCTTACAAACAGAGCAGCCCTTGGAATCATCTACTCTCAATTCTTTGGGGAACCAAAAATCCTGACATGTCCCCTTACAAACAGGGATGCTAAATAGGTAAGGAGAGGAATGCAGCCACTCCACAGAGCAAGTCTGCTGTGCTCCTTTATCTTTAAGCCTGGGGGCTTGTCTAAGCCTGAGGGCTTGACATCAAGGCTGTCCCTTCTGGTGGCACAGCAGAGTAACAGGCAGCAGGACTTAACCTACCTTCCTAAATAAAAAGTTTACTCTTCCCGTACAGTCAGTAGAGAGAAACAGGTTTCCCCAGAAGCTCAGTTAAGGTATCTCCAGCTTGGAGTCAGTCTACAGAGATTGCTACACCTTTCTACTGAGGATACAATAGTCCAGGTACATAAAACTGGGTGTTAATGTATACTTCCTGCAGCTGCAATTATTTTTTAAATCTTAGATGCTCTCTGAACTCCTAATCTTCAAACTCTTGCACTTGTAATGTACTTACCCACATGCCACACTATACAGTGGTAACCTACAAAGCAAAACAAGTAACTTGTCTTCTCTGACCTGATGTTTTTCAGATGCCTTTTAAGGATTCTGAGGAGCAATGCAGGATATTATAACAATATTATCAAAGATAAAGAGGACCTATCATACTTGGCTAGACAATAAAAGCACAACTGAGAAGAGTCAGTTATTTCCATCAATTCATTTTGTAATGGTGAAGTCAGGTAACTTTACAATTGCATCTATTATCCTCAACTAGACTTTGATCTGAGAAACAGAAAATCAAACTGAGGGTCTGAACTCTGACGTTCTGACAGTACAACTGCTGCTTAAATTAAATCAAAGTAAGGAGCAACACCTTGCAAGACCTGAGTCTTCATAATGTGAGTAACAAGAAAGACTCCTGACAGCAACTGACATTTTAAATATTTAACTTTCACAAGAAGAGACAGACAGAAATGTCTGTGCCTGCAAACCTGCCTACCCTCAAGATCAAAATAAAGCACGCTTTCCCACATCTACAGCAATATTCCAAGGCACACAGTTATTCCAAGAAATGCCTTCAGCATGATTCATACAACCTGCCTCCGCACTGCTGCACAGAGCAGCACGTGTGAATCCCTCCGTGAGGCATCAGATGGCAGGACCTCGATCCTCTATAGCCAGCACTGCCCTGTGCCATACATATGTTCTGGCTCACGCGGTGCAGATCTGCTTCAATCCCATGTACAGCATGGCCTGAACGTGCTCAGTTCCTTCTAAAATCACGCTGCAATACGCAGGTGATTGCGCTTCATTATACCGAATCCACAACTTTCACATTCGAGTCTGGTTAATGTCTAAGCCTAGCGTAAGCCTTGAGAAACACGCTATAAAAAGTCTTTTATAACACTACGTAGAAAGCCCAAACAAACCAACCGAAGCCCCAGTGCTTGCTAGGAGAAAATTCTCCTTTCCAGCCTACCTGATAATGTGACAACCTTTGAGACTCAAACTGCAGCACTGCCCCGCAGACCTTACAGAAAGTGTCGGTGAAAAGGTCTTTCCTTGTAGCCTCGTCTAAAACGTCATCTAAACGGAAAGAGCAAAAGGCAAGAATCAGCCAGTAGTTAGGACAAGATATATTTGCCTGTCTTTGTTTAAACAAAACATCAACCACCTGAATATTCACACAGAGCACAAGATGAAGGGACCAATGTGCATCCACTGAATCATACCGTACCTTGCTATGGCTTCAAAGCAGTGCTGTAAATCCACCTAAGCCTTCCTACTTACAGAAGTATTGCTCTCATGGACTTACAAAGTGTTACTATTAAGAGTAGCTGGACTTTAAAAACAAAGACAGAGACTCTTCAGAGTTTTCAGTCCACTTCAAATAGGGGGCAATATCAGAAATACCTGACTAACAGCTGAAAAAGGATGATTTTAACCAGACTAGATCATACAGTTAAATATGGGAATACCTCTTAAACAAGTGACTTAAAGAAAGTCTGGGAGTAACTCAGTACATAAAAAAGTCCAGGAAGTTTCAGATTTTTAGGAAGGTTGTACCTGTGTCCCCTATAACAATTGAAATTATTTAGTTATATGGAAAAAAAATGTTCCAATGACTTGTTTTGCTTTTCTTTGCCCTGTTCCCAGTTAACTGATGGCCTTGATACACTTTAATTCATACTAAAATTGGCCCAGACTTGAAGCTGTGTGTGAATAATTGCACGTGCAGGCACATTTGATCTTACAAGCACTTAAAAGTAGTACCAACACCACGGCAATTAAGCAAATTAAACACACCCTTCAGAAGAGCATCGCTGTGCTAGCAAAACTCTCACAAAGATAAAGCTACATCACCATCCTAGTTCCTTCTCCTCTTAATACACTTAATTCATTAGGGACACCAGTTTAACTTATACTGCTTGAAACACTTCTCTGGTACAGGTTATGCTTTGGGAGCAAGTTTACCCACGCTTCTATACCACCAAAATTTTTTCTGTGCTGTCAAACTCTAAGACTACCTGTTTCTTCTTCACCCCCAGAGGGTGACACTAATTCCAGTTAAGCTAGAATTTCACTTCTTGGCATGCCCTGCTCTTAAAAATAAGCCCAAGTTAAACAAGTTTAAAGCCAAAACAAAGGAAGCCACATTACTAGACAGCTCAACTAAACAGTGCTCTTCAAGTGAAGCTGAAGTTAAAGGGAAAATATTGGGGAAAGGATTGTGATGTCTCAACTGAGCTTAAACCCTCTAAGTTTACCCAGCGGTCCATCCTGGAAGCCACACGTGGAGCAGTTGGCTTTCCGTGCTTTGCACACAGCCTGGCGAGATGGTGGGCAAGGAAAGCATCACTCCCTGTGTTCTCAAGGCTTGGTGCCAAAAGGCATCCAGAAACCCATAAAGGCAATCAGCCTTTACTCTCGATTCTAAAGACTGCCAAAGCCAAGCCCAAGGGAACATGGAAAAAACAGACTCAAATACTGTGTAGTGTGTCCTCTAACTCTAAATAACGGTGCTAAGCAGTGGGATTGTCAGTTCACAAACAATTAAGGAAGGACTAGAGTCTACCCAGTCCCTCACACGTGCCCTGGACAACACCATTGCCGTCTTTGCACAAGTGAAAAGCCACTTAAAAACAGAGCAGGAATTTCGGTGCAAGCTGTTTGACATATACTTTAACTGAGCCGGTATCACCCCAGGAATGTGGCTCCAGTGGAAGCCTGAAACAAGGAATTCCCAACTGCTTTGACAAGCCAACATTAACACATGCAACCAGGGGAAAAAAATAAAAATCTATCAGCATCTCTATCTGTTTAACATGCAGATCTTACTACAACTGGCTCTGACGTGGCTTTTGACTGATATTACAACAACCACCGGGTATCAAAATGCCCCTGTCTAGCATGGTTTGCCATCAGTGCCTGGTATAAGAATTCATTTTCTAATAAAGCCTTTATTTTCATGAGGTACAACCGCCAGGTGACCAGTCCTTCAGAGCTTTTGGTTTCTGCATTTTGAGTCATCCAGAAACATTCAAGATTCTACAGTACTGATTCGTGTAGCTTAGCCGCTTCAAGCAGAGGGGTGAAAGATGGACATAATAAACGAGTTGATCCACACAAAAAAATCCAGTGACTTAAGTTTCTGGGCATTAGATGAAAGCCCATCTCGCATGAATTGCCAGTGTTTGTATCAGAAAAAGCTACTTACAGAGGAAAATTACACCACTTTGCTCAAGGGTACTGAACTGCAAAACCAGCTACCTAGAGAAAGGTAACTGGAACAATATTCTCTCTTTAAAAAAAGGAACAAAAGGCAAATTGCAATGCAACTAGGCACAAGTCTATGAAATACTACTATCATGGGCAGTATTCACTATATTTCAATTTGTGTAACTTCTTACTGGAAAACAGATCTCGGTTTCAAAGACAGATGACTTATTAGTTAAGGACAGCATTCTATGAATATTTTCCTTCACTTAGTGAACTGCACAGACTTCTTAGCAGGCAAAAACCAACCAAGTGCATGCTACAAAAAAAATAAATCCTAAAAACATTGTAATGTGAAGTTAAAATTGGGTTTTTAATTCACCTTCTCCTTGGCTGACCACCAATGAAAAGATTGGATTATAGGGACCAGAAGTCTGGTTGTCCAAGTAACCCCTGTTGTGCCTCTTGGAGCCGTCCGGAACCCGTCTGTGTCCTTGTCCTCAATGGCATTTTGCAGTAACTGATGAATTGCACTAATATATATTCTAGGGACAGTTTTAAATCTTGCTCTTCATTGTTACAAGAATTGTTTTTATTTTTCAATATCATAAGAAGGCTGACAGGACTTCACTTACTCAGAATCTTTCTTCTTTGTAAACTTATCCCATCTTAGTTCTCTTTTCTCTTCATAGTGCTGTGTTTTCAATTTCTCATTAAGTCTTTCCATTTTTCACCTCCTACCACTGTTGTCCCTCTGTTTTGGCTCCACCTTTTCTCAAGATAATGTTATGCACTACCTCAGTCTAACACCTGCAGCGCTGCTAAGCCCAAGAATTGGTTTCCCCCAAGAGAAAGAGATTTACAAAAATACAGACAGAGTTCACAACAGTTGCCTTGATTTTGGAACCTTAAAGATTTGCTCTACTCCATTTTTCTCCGTGGTCACATATCCCATGAAATGGGCAGGGTTCCCGAAACGATGACTTGGCTGGGGAATGCAAACTGTGAGCACGGTAACGTAACCTGCTTTAATGCAGCTCTTGGCACTCACTTGCTGTTAAATCAGCAATAGCAGCTGCTATTAAATCATTTATACATGCACCTGCTGTTAAATCAGCAATAGCAGGGGAGTTCAGCTCAGCTTTGTCAGTCTGATACAGCCAAGCCCAGCACAACCCTGCCTGCTCCCCTGAGACCAAAGAAGGCCAGAACACCCTGATCCAAACAAAGGAGGGGGGACCTCATCAACACATACAAATATCTTAAGGGTGGATGTCACAAGGATGGAGCCAGACTCTTTGCAGTGGTGCCCAGTGCCAGGACAAGGGGCAATGGGCACAACCTGAAGCAGAAGAGGTTTCAGTTGAATATGAGGAAGAACTTTACCTTGAGGGTGACAGAGCCCTGGCCCAGGCTGCCCCAGGGGGGTTCTGGAGTCTCCTTCTCTGGAGATATTCAAACCTCGCCTGGATGATGCCCTACGCACCCTGCTTTGGGTGACCCTGCTTTAGCAGGGGGGTTGCACTGGATGATCTCCCGAGGTCCCTTCTAATCCCTGTGATTCTGTGATACAGCAGCTGCCACCCCAGTCAGTCAGAAGCAAAGCTACCAAGCACTTCTGAAAAAGCCAGGTAGCCACTTTTAAAAACACTGATCTGATAATTTCAGCCTCAAAACCACATGAAAAGCTGTACATATAAACATAACCTTTTTCTTTTTATTTTCTGTACAGCTAGCTGACTTTCGGGCAAATATATATGCCTTGCATAACTTATTTCTACATGGTCTTCTGATGAACTGCATAGAGACAAATTCAGGAATGAACCGATGTGTCTCTCACTTAAATTCCAACCAGGCAGGGAGCTGTAAATGGTCTTCAACCCAGTCTGGGCAACTGCAGGCTCCATCCCAATGGCAACCACGCACATCAATAGCCCTCTTTGCTACAGGACACGTCTCTGCTCAACTCCAGAGCAGGGTCAAGAACAAGTCTGCCCTTTCTCCGTTTAACTATGACTCAAGACCGTTTGCGACACACAAAAATGACAGCGCACGGGGAGATCTATGCCTGTGTGCAACCTGTTCCATAAATATTAACCTGAACTTGAGGTCTTCAGCTTTCAGATTCACAAGACATCTTTCCTGGGAACGAAGACAAACTTTTTTAAAAAACAGCTTACCTTAGAGTTTGCAACCATGCCATCAGAAACTTTACAGAGAATCAATCAAAAGCAGTAGCCTTGCAGGACTGCCACACTGACCCCGTCATTTTTATGCCTCTGAAATGTTTAAAAAAAGGTAGAAGTATCATGAACTTGGAGCAACTGGTTGGATCAGCCTTTTGTCATTAAGAAATGGCTCACTGCAAGACAGACCAACTACTGTCTGTCACAAAGGGACTGCTCCTTCATCAAAGGATAGGGTTTAAAATGTTTTAGAAGTAGGACATGAGATTAATTTTTTAAAATAGAAAACATAAAATGTTCATGCTGCATAATGAAGCCAGCCAGTAATTTTCAGTGTAGCTTTTCCCTTACTTTTAGGCTATTTCCCCCAGAAAACATTTACATTTGTCAGCCGTTCATGGGGTGTGGAGCAGTGTTACAATCCTCTCTGGCTTCTGGGCTCCGAAATCCCACTGACCAGACTGGTGCTCCTCTTCGGTAATGGCCTTGTTTTCAGCATCATCTCACAACAACGAGATTGCAAGGCAGCATAGCTTCTGAAAGCGTAGGCGATCCAAACTTTGTTGGTGCTTACAGACGTTGACATCGGCTAAGGCTGTCACTAAAAGACACAGGGTCTCGCACGGTAGATTAAAATTATCAGCTCTAGGGCTGCAGCAGCCTTGAGAGTGCCCCGTTTACATG